GCTGACATTAACGTCGCCTACAAACACACACCTGCTTGGCTTTTCTCTCACAAGACAAATGTTGAGCCAATTAGACTGATAGCTGTGTTGTCCAGAGACATCTAAGGGGAGCTTACATGCATACTAAAAACACCAATTGCAAACAAGGTCTGCCCATCACTGACCTAACAACCATTCCTTTAGTGTGACTTAAAGCAGAATTAGTCCACATTAAAAGAACAAAATTCATTACAGCAGCTCAAAAAGCTTAATCATTTTGGATCAGAGACTCATGTTATGCCTGCCAAATCGCAATCATGATATAGAAGCTTAGAAAGAGTGCAGAATCTTGCTGCCAAACTGCAACATAAAGACAGCTCCAAGATTCACTGGAAAAAGTGTGAAAAAGTCCAAACTGTGGGTCAGTGCAGCACAGTACAGGAAAAAATGTCAGTTGTATTACTAAATCTGGACAGAATATAAAAAACCCTTTTGTACAGCAAAGGAAACCCCAAAAACCAACCTAGTTAAAGACATCACACTACCATATTGACAGAAACAGATCTAGCACTTCTGCAGAGCCACTGGTTTGATCTGGACACTAAAAAAGGGGCTTCCGCATAATCTGCTGCCATTATACAGTATGGCTAATTACTACAGAAGAAGACGACGAATACACAACCAAATGATCTAACTGACCTAACTATTGCGTTTAATGTTTGTTTTTTGTGTGCATGAAAATGAAAAGGGCTCCATTATAATGCAACAAACACAAGTGTGTGTGCGTGTGTGTGTGTGTGTGTGCGTGTGTAGGTGTGCGTGTGTAGGTTGGTGTGTGTTGTGTGTAGGGTGTGTGTTTGGGGGGGGGGGGTTGACTACTAGTAAAACTAGTCTTGACAAGCTGACCAACCCCACCTAAACTTTATACAAGCTATAATGTTCCTGCGCCTGGATTTGACTTATTGACAGTATTTATGAAGTCAAAGCCAGAAAAACAATGTCTCAGTTGGAGGTTATCCATGTGTCAACCAAAGCTGAAATACTAATGGCTTGAAAGTGATAGAGGGAAGGAAGAAACCTGCCTATAAGAGTAGGCAAGAGCTTATGGGAACACTGTCAGGAGCTGAAATCTTTGACCCCATGACTTTATGGGTTTAAATGACACACAGTTCCACAAGATGCACCCCTACTGAGAGGTCATTAAATGCCTTGGCCATCCAGCAGTCCAGCAAAAAGACATGGTTGTCAAACAACAGTAAATATTTCTTCCTTATGAATTATGCAGTTGCCTGGATTGCCAGTCAACAACAAATAGACCCCTTTTTCATTTGTTATTGACACAACCATCTCATGGCAATGCTACATTGGAGATTAAATTTAACAGATCTTCTTACATTTACAGTGTGAGGCATGTTGTTTTATGTCTGTGTGGTAGTCTATCATAGGAGTGTGCAGCATGTGCGTTGGGTGGGTTAACCACAGCCCATTTGTGCACAAATGTTGCATGCCTTATAGACAGCACGTATAACTTGTTAAAGGGTGAGAGAGGGGGTTTTAAGGGGAAACTAATGCTCACCATAAAAAAAACAAAGCTGAGGGGCCCTGCTGATACCTGCAAGTCCATCTATTCAAACCATCTCAACCCACTGCAGAAAAATACCCAATATAACTGCTGCACAGCAACACAGATATCAAAGAAAAAAAGCCAAAATTATCATATGCAGCACATGGATGAATAAGCAGGCAATGAGGCGCCCAATCAGTGGGCCAATCACTGTGATGAGGAAAACCTCACACCACTATAGTAAGATGCATCATTAATAAAACTAATCAGGACTGGCTGAGATATTGCATGTGTTGGTTAAATGAAATGTCAGCCACAGCCTTTCCCCTGTAAACACAAAGACAACGAAGCAAAGACCTGGCAGCCAGACAATCAAAGAACTGAAAAGAGAAAAAAAACTGAATAAAAGCATTTACAAACAAGTACACAAAATCAGCCGTTTGAGCAGCAGATAACCCACAACAGCTTAGCAGGCCATTTGACAATATCTCTGCTTTTCTTGTGAGCGCCTGCTTTATATCCACTCTGAGCTCAAACCCTTTTTACCGAGAGCTGAAGTAACTTCCTGCAGCCGTCAGTGTTGCCAGGCAACTTTGTTCTCTAGGACATTCTATCAGGAAATACTGCGGCCTGCAGTGAGTTCAAAGACTGCGCCATCTCTCTGAAAGACTCAGATGGAGGCTGCTGATAATGGCAAGATGGGCGATACGCACAGACCGCGAGATGAAGGGAAACAGAGCGCCTGCACTATTGGAGCCACCATTAAGACCAGATAAGAGCAGAGAAATAGCCGGTGTGTGCAGGAGTAGGAGAAAAATGTGTATATGCCTGAGTGTGTGAGCATACAGAATCAGGAGTGGGGACAGTATATCATCCAGTGTATCTTTCTATTTATACAGGATATCTTTCTATGTGTATACCAAGTGTGTTTTTACAAGAGTGGGAGACTTTTCTATGGTGTGGTCTGGTGTGTGGGTGTGAGCACAAGCAGGAGAGACTGTATGTGTGCAGTTTAATGTCCGTAACACTATGCCATTACGTTCCAATGAGCAGCGGATTAAAATGAAAAGGTTTTAATTACACTGCAAATTGGACCGGATGCATTATGGTGTCCGAGCACCTACCTTGTGAGCTGTCTAAACTATGGAAAACCCGCATGAGAAAACCACAGGCATCTGTTAATGTGTGTGTTTTTCTACAGACAATAACTGTGGTTTTATGTCAACACAAATGTGCTGCACAAATGTACCATCTCCATCACTTTTCTATTCTAGGACCACAGAACACATTAAAAATAAATGTTTCCTTACTCCGTCTCTCACTGTCACACACATACACATACAAAGCACGCTGTGACAAACACACACACACACACATTAATAATACCCAACAAAGTACCAAAGTTTGGCCTCAGTGTTGCTTAGGGAGCAGGTTTCAATACCTGCAGCGAGAGCTGGGCTCAGCTCTGAAGTGAAAGCCTCCACTGTGGGGACTGGCACAATGTGAAATGCAATCACAACACATAGCAGGGAGGAGGGAGGGCGGGGAGGAGAAGGGTGTCTGGAACAAGATAAATGGAAGATGAGGCAGAGAGACAGTGAGACCCCTGGTGATAATGTGCAAATGCTGCTGGTTTGATCCTTCAGTTGTGTGTAATTAGGGAGCTGTAGAGGTGGGTTGTTTTTCCCTTTGGACAGAGCTAGGCTCACTGTTTTAGTATTTATGCTCAGGTATAATAAAGATATAAAGTAAGTTTCCCAAAACTATTCCTTTAAAGCTCAACAGAATTTGAAGAAGTAACAGTTTTAACGTCATGTCAAAGATATACTGAAGTTAGCATGCTAACCAGCTAGCCCCAGCCTGGCTCAATAGGCGATAGTGAGTCACTGTAATGTCCAGTCTGCTCTCAGTCCAACATGAGAAGATTAGCAAGTAGCAATAGGGGTGAACACCCCAACTTTCTGGTGAAGGGTTTGTTTGGAGTCCTTTTTCTATATGACATCATCTGAAATGATTATCCTAATCTTAGGTTCAAGGTCTGGAAAGAGGAGAAAATCTTCGTGCTGTATGCAACAACAACAGTGAGTGCTCTCGACAGACAGCACGTTGCAGTGGTGCCTGTGTGATGGAGCTGAAACATGTCCTTGCACTGAGTAAACCGCGGTCATCTCAAGAATAGTAAACAGGTAAGTGCGTGAGAATGCGCACTGTACTCTTGTTGGTACCTGTCATGCACACATGGTCTGTTTAAGGAGCGACATCACTCTTGATAACATTCAAAAGTCATGGATAAGAGCTCTCCATAGCTGCTCTTAAACACACACAAGGAGACATGGTTCGTCACTTTAAGCAGACATGCTGGGTGATTTTGGGATTTGATTACAGCAGAAAGCAAGGTCATATCACGAGTCTCATATAAAGTTCCTATCTCCCTCGCTCTCTTATATAACAAATTCTCAAGGTCATTGCTTTAGCAAATCACCATCCTTGTCTACATCCTCTTCTCCCGCTCTTCTCTCTTTACTTCTATCTATTCCTCAACTGGGTCATTACCTGAAAAGGCCATTACTTGAAATCTCCTGAGAGAGATGAGGCTTGACTTTAAGTGATGCTGTCATAGTTGAGCCAACTTTTCGGCAACACTAAAGCCAGACGACTGTGATATAAATTATTTTTTAAAAGGCTAAATACAAGGAGAGCTTTCACTTTGCAGTGAATGTTTTGCATTTTGTACCTAATCTCAGTGCACAATAGGTGACAATCATAAAATTGTTCCTGAGAAATGCACTCAAAAACTGTTCAAACAATCATAGATCCAGAATTGCATTTACTGTCTGCACTGCTGACAACCATTTCCACCCATTTTAAAATTGCATTTTCATTTTCGCAGTTTGGCAACGCACTAATGTCCTCCTCTTTTGAATCACAGGTAAATAGCGCATTAAAATTCCTGGGGAGAATCCAGTTGTTTTGCAGACCAATTATAGACAGAAAAATGAATAGTGTTGGGAATTTGTTCAGACTTCCCTTAATACAACCCAGTGCTTGAGCATCCTCGCCTGGCTTTTTCACTTTCAGTGAGCTATTTCACCTCAAGTCTGCAAACTTCAGTTAAAGTGGTCAAGACTCTTTAACACTGCACATTCAACCTGCTGACACCTGCTTTGACATTTTAGGGGATATACTGTTTCCTATAATAAGCTGCCTTAACATCAAGCCACAGCACCTTGATTATTCAACATTATTTTAATACACGCCTACTCATTTTCTACACTATGATTAAATATGATTAAGATGGGGGTTTTCTTTCCATTCATTCATGAGCATTTTCCAGAATGTAATGTAATGGTCTAGGTATCCTGTATGGTCAGTATGACATTGAAACAAGAAAGGTGATAAGAGACAGCAGAAATCCCAAGAGCTCTGTATTGGCTTCAACCAAAACACACTAACATACCTGTTTGGCGAGGTTGACAGCATCAGCGTGAAGTCGGTTTCTCAGGTGAGGGTCCAGTTGGAAAGCCGGTGCAATCTCCACAACCTTCAAAACAACAAGGTTTTATCAATAAGTGACCACAACACTGTCAGAACGGAAATGCAGCAAACTGATAATGTCAGGATAACAACAAACAACAATGAACATTTGTGTATTTTAACTCCGATATCTACATCCACAAATCCTGCATCTTTAAAAGTGCGATTAAATCATTTTGGCACTTGGGTAAAACATTTTGTCAGTTTTGATTTATTTAGCCTGACATGCCAGCTCTAAAATGATTTTATTAATGTATGACTGATTTAAATTCATAGATAGTGTTTCAAGATACAGTGGTTATCAACTCAGAAAAGCCATGCTATGCTACTTGCATCCCTTTCATTTAATGGATGTTATATTATTTGAGTTCAATGTCTTTTCCATCACAGAACATGATCCATTACGTTCACCTGCGGTCTGCTGTTTCGTGGTAGTGTGTAGTGGGTTTATCAGAGCTTTTTTGCAGTGAGATTGAACCAAGACAGTAAAGTTGCAGGCCATGAAACCAAAACAATGTGCTGAAAGACGCTAAAATATATTTGTTTGGAGTCCCTAAGAGATTTGAGACTTTATACATAGTTGCTTGATCCATTGTTTTTATAAATGTATCAATTAATGTTGCTTTAAAAATGCACTCCCTGACTTTGCTAGCACTAAATACTGCCCCCAGATTTTCTCCCAGTTCACATCTGATTCTTAAGCTTGTAAAAGTACTTAGTTACTTTCCTCCTAACATTTAGTAAATACCACAATTTATTTTCATTTTTCCTGCAGTAGGCATCAGTTTGATACATTATGTGTCACTATAGCTTCAGCAAAACAGATGGAGTGAATCATTTGTAGTCTCATTCAGTCTTTCATTTGGTGTTGCAACGGCTGCTGGGTGGGTGGGGTTTGCCATGTTGGAGGCTGATCTGTTTCGTTCCACTGTGTCAAACAAGTCAACCCAGCCAAAAGTAATAATTGAATCCAGTTCAAAACAACATGACCCATGTCTGATTTTGAAAAATAAAACCACAAGAACTCAATTAAAATTTGTATCAAATCTCCTCCCAAATAAAATCCCTCTCCAAGTATGAATATTACTTCCAAGACAGAGAAAAAGCTAAAAATATCCTTTCGGCGCTCTACCATCCCTAATCTATTTCAACAAGCAACTATTCTTGTTTCTGAGATTCAAAAAGATCTTAGATTAAGGGCAAAGGCAGATTAAGTCTTACAGAATCAAAGAGCAGCAGCTCTGGCATGAACAGAGCTGCTAATATGATTATCATCTATAATTTGATTAAAGGGAGAGGAGGAAAGTGATGAAAACGCATGATTGAAACTGCTTTGAGGTGACAATATGTAATGAAATATTACACGTGTTAATCAGCTTCCTCTGATGAAAGCATTGTTATATTGACTGACGATTAGATGACAGTTTCCATTTTCTTTTTTATGTGATATTCAGACATTTCTGTGATGCTGTAATAACTAATTTCTTTCCAGAACAAGCTGAAAATATATGGGAAAAATAGCCCTGACTAATGAATGAGAATTTAAATCAAATTTATATACTCTTAAAGACACTGTTTTTGTTTATCCAAGTTGATTTAGTGGAGAATCATGTAGCTGCTTCAGTTGTTGCCAAGACTCCAATTCACACAGCCTTAGAAGTGGCTAATTTTTATTGGTATATAATCCTCTTACCCCCTGCTGCTAAGGACACCCAGGGCCACCAGTGCCATAATAATCATTGCTATAATCAGGACTATAATCACCTTATTTGTTAATATGTTGCTTAATTGGCCCATTTGCCTAAAGAAAAGGGAAATAAAACACTACAGTCTTTTGTAGATTCAGCAGACTGCAGTGCCTATTCTTGCCCATGACCTTTGTTTCATGCCCAACCACCACCACCGTCCACTTCATGCTAATCTACGTAATACAGCAGAAATGCCATGAAGATAATCTAAAATAAATTCAAACATTAAGTCGGGTTAGATGAATTTTAAAATGAGGACTTCACCTTTTGGTGTCTCCGCTGAATGGAGCAGTCTCTCTCGTAGAGGTGGATGACATTACCATATTTATCGCCTGGGGACAGAGGAGAGGACAAAGAGAGCAGTAGGTGAGGAGGAATAAAGAAAATTATAAGACAATCAGGGGCAGGAAGAAAAGAAGCAGTTGGATTCAAGTGAAGAAAGAGTGAAAGAACCATTCTTTGCACCTAGATACACTGTGAGGCACATCAATTGAAGGCCAACAGAGAGCTTTGGAAACCAAAGACAGCCGAATTCTCACAATGCGACTGCTGCTACAGCTTTAAACATTTTTAAACCAATCAATCTGTATACAGCATGAATGAATGGGGAGTTCAGTGAAAGACTGGCTACAGAAATGTTTCATAATGAAAAAATGACAGCCCAACAAAACGTTATGTATTAAAGATGACCTTTCTTGTCTTTTTACAATACTTTCACAAAGAACTGTAACCATTTTTACTTTTCTTTTTTAAACAGTCATGGGAAATCTATTTAAGAGAATTTCTTACATGTAATTCTTTTTTCATTATCAATTCAGTCATCTCTCATTTATTTGATCAATTAATTGATTTATCATTTAGTTATACATCTTTAGAAAACAGTGAAACATTTAAAGCTGCAATCACAGAATTTTGCAATTCTTCTTAAAAAATATTCAAAACAATTATTTGATGTTGATGTCACTATGACGTTTCTGACAAACATTTTTTTCCTTCTCTTTTTTAAGCTAGACTGTACACTGGTTTTGTGCACTGCAGTGTGAATCTACCTGCAGTGGTACTACTGTGTTCACTGATACATTTGAGATGTATGGTTTTCAAAAATATAATAAAAATACAAATACAAAACGGGAAGAAACTGGAAATTATTATATTTAGAGTGAAGGAAGGAAATAGGGAAGGCAGCAAAACAGAGGGCTGGCAAAGATATGACTTTTAACAGGTAATTCAGAAAAAAAAAAAAATCACAAAATCACTGAATGCCCTTAAGACAGTAATTAGTAACACACACACACACA